CATGATGTGAAGACAATGACTAAAGACACGATGGATTTTATAGAGGTTAGGTTATATCTTTCCCTCTGTTCTGATTTATGTGGGCACGAGCTTTAAAAAAGAAGGAATTGACTATTAGTACTTCAATTAGTTTGAAAAATGATTCCTTAATGGTAGTGGTGAAATTGTTTTTTTGTTTGTTTGTAATTCCCTTTTAAATTGCTTAATTGAACAAGTAAAAGAAAAAGTTAATTTTTCTAAATTGACAAGTAAAAGGGGTTGAAGTAAAAAAGAAGAGTTTTTTGTGAGGATTTATATTTATAGTCAAAAAGATTAAAAAAGTGATTATGACTAGTTGATGATCTTAGCATGGAATCAAGTGTAAAATATAATTGGTGAAATTTGTTGGTAACTGATAAGGGGTTTGTACAAATTAATTAGGTAAATGTCCAATTGTGCAAAAGTCACATACTTAGTAGAATTTTATTAATTTTTTTTGGTTTGAGTGAGGTGTTAAAATTAAAATTTGTTGTCTTCTGTCAACTTAATTTATGTTTGGACAAGCATTCGTTCATTGCCTTGTTCTAAGAATTGAGCTTCCTTCTCTTATTTGACTTTGATTTACAAAACAAAACTATCATGCATCAATTCTAAGCAAGAAATTACATTCAAAAAATAAAAAATAGCTACACTCAAGTGACGAGTTTGTAGCTAATTTTTTTTTTGTAGTGTAACTTTTGCTTGGGAATGATGCAAAATAGTTTTGTTTTGTAGAGCAAAGTCAAATAAGAGAAGAGAACCCAATTCTTACAATTAAAAGGGAACAACGCAACTAATAAATTCTTGTGCAAACATGAATTTTAGTTGATAAAGGTAAAAAAAAAAATTCATTGAAACACCTTACTCAAACCCCCCAAAAAAGTGAATTCTACTAAGTATGCGACTTTTGCACAGTTGCACAATTACCTAATCAATTTGTACAAATTCTCTAACAATTACCGAAAAATTTCACCATTTATTTTTTACACTTGATTCCACGCTAAGATCACAAACTAGTCATGATCACTTCTTAAATTTTTTTTAACTGTAAATATAAATTCTCACAAAAAAAGAACCCTCTCTTTTACTTACATCATCCCCTTTTACTCGTCAATTTATAAAAAATAGTGTCTTGCCAGTATTTTTAAATTATTATGTAGTTTTTCTTAGTGTTAGAAATTCTCCACATTTTCTAAATGATCATATAGTTTCTGACTAGACCAAAAGACTAGTACCGAGTAGTGGACCTAATGTAAATGTATCATCATTATTAAAACTTTAACCACAGCTAATTGGTATCGCTTACATAGATTATTTATTCTTATTGCATCTTATTTTTTGGTAAGTCTATGTGTTTTTAAAGAGATCGTACGTATTTGAAAACAACTTCATTTCATGTGATTTTATGCCTACCTCATTCTTTTGAACACATACAAATTGGGTTTTCTTCTTCTTTTCACTATTCCATGATCCTCTTTTAAAAAATATTAATTCTCCACTCCGGAGTTAATAAACAAAGGAAATTTCTAGGAATAAAATTGAATTGTCCAAGCATACAAGGTCCTAAGATTACCTTCATAAACTTCTTTAAAAATATTCATTGAAAACACTTTTAGAAATGTTCTCAAATAGTTAAGAATTTAAATTCAATTTTTTAAAAAAATTTGTCAAACAAATCAATTTCTTAAATAGATAACTACCTGACACCTTAAAGTTTTTTCTTTTAAACTTCTCTCAATATTCTTTTTCAGGAGAACTTCTAAAATTGTCCGATGACTTTAAGAGTCAAAGGCATAAGAAGCAAATAAATTATTTCTGCATTGTACCAAACGTATAAAAGGAAAATTCTTAAAGGAAAAAAAAGCGTAATAAGAATTAATTGATTAAAAAAGAAAAAGCTTTAAATCTTAAAGAAAATCTTAGTTGTGGAGACGAAACAAGAATACTTTTATTGCTATGAATTCTTTTGGGCATATGGTTTTTATTCTATTTATTAACCAAATTATCACTCATCCTTCAATTTACTGCATTGTTTACCTTTTTTTCTGTACACACTTTATAATGAATTTTTTTTCCATTTTAACAATGAAAATGTAGATTTCTTTTTCTCAATCTCTTTAAGTCAATACAATTGTTGGTATGTAAATTTTCTTTCATTTGATTGCACATGCCATATTTTTTATTGTACACACTTTATAATGAATTTGTTTCCATTTTAACAATGAAATTGTAGATTTTCTTTTTGCATCCTTTTCTCGTCTCTTTTCTTTCTCACTCACTTCAAGTCAATACAATTTTTGTTTTACAAATTTTCACCCATCATTTATTTGATTTCCATATATTTTATTACACACTTTATATTAAATAACCTTCCATTTTAATAGTGAAAATATAGATATCATTTTTCTTTTTTTTGCCTTTATTTGGCATCCATATTCTTGTCTCTTTTATCACTCAGTCTTTTCAAGTCAATAGTATATATTGTTTGTTTGTATCTTTTCTTCCATTTAGTTTTCAGCAGACAAATCTTGTTACCCAATCTATCTTCACTCTCATTTTCTCCCCTTTCTCCATTCTCTTTTGGATCATGGCCTCAGGGAATTCTGAAAAGATGTGAGTATAAGTTTATAACTTTTTATGATATATGTTCTTTTCTCCTTTTATGCCCTCTTAATTTATGCTTGAATGTTTTTTTCAATCAGAGAAATTTATGTAAAACGTGCTTTATCTTGAGAAACAATTTTTTGGAGAGATTTTTCAGTAGGGTTTTGATGACATTTTTAAGTTTTAGAAGTTGAAAGGAAAGGTATGATTATTTGTTGAAGCAAGTGATAGGAGACAAGCGTAAGAAATAAGAAAATAGTTTTTCACTAGGCAGAAGGAGAGCCTTGGAGTAACTGGTAAAGTTCTTTCAAAGCAACCAGAAGGTCACGGGTTCAAGCCGTGGGACCAATCTCTTGCAAGTATGCAAAATAAGATTGCGTACAATAGACCTTTGTGGTCTGGTCCGATCTCTTGCAAAAATGCAAAGTAAGATTGTATACAATAGACCGTTGTAGTTCGGTCCTTCCCTGAATCCCGTGCAGCGGAAGCTTTAGTGCACGGGGCTGTCCTTCAGGCTTGAATTTTAGATAGTATAGGGTCAAGTTTGATTTTTTCCCCTTTAAATTAATGTTGGAAGGCATCTTCATTGAGAAGATGTTTTAGGGGAAAACAATTTACATCAAATTAATGAGATTCTTTTGGCAATTCTTCAGGCTTGAAAAGTGCATCTATGATTACTTGGTTAAGAAGGGGTTGCATGAGACTGCCGATGCATTCGCGCGTGGAGTTGCTATTGAAAATCCCACAGATGATGGCAAGTCTTTCTTTAAATTTATGGCAGATTTGAACTCATTACTGTGCTTTAATTGTGATTATCTTCTTTAAAAGTTGTATCCGCATGATCTATAACTCAGGGTAGACTGCCTAGGTCACATCCCCTTGGGCTGCGGGGCTTTTCCGGACGTTGGGTGAATGCAGGATTCTTTGTGCATCGGGCTACCCTTTTAGTGATGATCATGTTTTTTTAAGAACTATGTTATTCCTTTTATTTCATTTTAATTTTTGTATGGTGTTTGACTAGACACATAGTTTAAGAAAAAACGAAAGTCTTGTGGCACAAATTAAATTTATTCTCTCTATATTCGAATTTATGTGTCATTGGGCCACAAAAATTATGAAATACCTTTGATACATGTGGTCTAAAATAAGCTTTAAACATGTGTGACTATAAATCATCACAGTAACGTGAGAATTTTAAAGTATTTTTAAATATATAAAGGTGGCATTTTTTGGGGACAAATGAAAAAGTAAAGTATGCCATATAAATTGGGTTAAAGAGAGTGTAACATACCAAAAGTATTCATACGAATAGAATGAAGAGAATGATAGATAATGCCATTCTTTGAATGTTGTGGTGCACATATCTAGGGTAATTTTTTCTCAAAAATGCTTTTTGTGTTTATAAAATTGTATTAATTGCTCTTTTTTTTATTTTGGAGGGATGTGCACAACATAGTGACTGATCATTTTATTTGTGGTGATGTGCTAATGTACAATTATTCAATTCTGCTATTTGTTTCAGCTATAAAATCTTCAGGGGCATTTCTCACGAATTGGTGGAGTATGTTATATGATAAGCTCATCTCTAATCATTCCTCCCAAGATCCTTTTGCTGAGGTATTCCCTAAACTTTTCTAAGTTAAATTTATCTTCCTTTTGAAACTATGATAATCTAAATGAATGCTTTTTTAAAATTATCAGGCTGCACGTACTATGGACAATGTGGTACCTCAAGTCCCTTATGCTGTGCCAGCACCTTCTTCTCATTCTGTTACACCAGTTAACTCTCCTACAATGCCAGATCCTTCTGAAGCAGGTTCGTTTATGTTTCAGAATTTCTTGATTTTGGTCTTGATAATACATGTGAGCTCACCTAAGTAGTTTCCACTCTTATATGTTGACTTAACATGCATTAAGATAGTAACTAAAATCTGCTAGAAAAGCTCCTTCATTCGAGGAATTAGTTGCATACTTTTTCAGAGTTCTCAGTGCCTTGTGCAGAACATGCTCATTGTTGTATTTGTATTGCAATTACCAACACAAAATTAATATTGGTTTAACTTTGTATGTTCGATCATGAACATCAAGTATTTTTATGGATTAGGTTACAGCCTCGTTCATGTCCAGCTTTAAGGATATGAAATATTTCCCCTAAGATGAGGTTTTATTTTGTGTATACAAGATCTCTCGATACGTGACTGAATGTACCTATAGCCTAAATTATTTGGTAATTGCAGAAGTGAATGAAAGAATTGCTTATGTGAGAATGCTTTTTGACCCAAAATAAGAATGTCTGTTTTTACTTATTCAAGGAGAATTAAACAGTTCTCTATTATAACGGAAACTCATATCATATTCTCTGCTAATCTTCCTATCAGGCTCTTCCACCGCCTCCTGCTCTGGGATGCAGCAGACTCCCTAATCAAATCAAGATCTCTTGATTTCCTGATCTTCCTCTTGGCATGGAATTAAGAAGGTGATAACTTGAGAAAGCTTACAGTTCATTAGCTATTATACAGTACATGTAGGCTATAGCCATGAGGAAAGACAAGCTGCATTTTGTTACTTCTTGATTGTTTTAAGCATTTAATTTTTTTGTAACCCAAGCTTTATCATGAGTACTTGATTATGAATGGAATAACATTCGATGTGTTGCTTTCTCCCAATTGTAAAATGGCTGTTGCATATTTTTTAATCAACTTGGAGATTTGGGAGTAATAGTTCTTCAAGAAGCATCAACTTTTCCTACAAGGGAAGAATGACAGTATCATTATAGTGCACAAGTTAAAGTGCAGTGCACAACAACAACAACATATCCAGTGTAACCCCATAAATGTGATCTAGGTAGGGTGATGTGTATGCAGCCTTAAAGTGCAGTGTCTTGATGTAAATGTTAAACTGCTAATACATTTAAAAGAGGCATAGAGGGTTTAGGTAGTGAGAAACCATAACGTTGATGGCTTCAGGCATGAGCGATTTAAGTTAAGGTCACAGGCAACATTTGGTATTTATTTAAGTGGGCTTGATCAAGGATGCTTGAAGTAACATTATACTGATAGCAGTTAAGCTTTTGCGAATTAGACTCCAAATAGTATTAAAGATATTGATCATCGATGTTTGAAGAAGCATTATGTTGATGGTACTTGTATTCAAGTCCGTTATTAGACTTGCATAAAAGATAGTATTCTTCCTTGGTCGTGAATAAGCTGTTCTTATATTAGCGAGGAGTCTAGTCAATCAAATCTACAGATTTAATGTCAAAATGATAAGGGCATCCAGGTGCATGAAGCATCTTGTGTTTACGCTGGATCCGGGCAAGGGCCATACTCCATCAATGTAGTTAGGCAGCCTATCTTGATGCAAAAATCAATGGCTGATTCCATGGAGACAACTTTACAGTTGCTCCAAGACTTCCCTTCTTACCGTCAAAATGATAAAAAACAAAAAGGGAATGTGCTCTTTTTGATAGACTTCTATATTCTTTGAGTAGCTTTTGATAAATTCAACATATTTTAAACTACTCTTCGTCATTGCAAGTAGTCTAACCCTTCTACCTAAAGTCATTCCAATTTCAACAAGTTATTTATAAGGGGTCGGACTTGGTACGAGTAGTGTTAGAAGATGTTATTAACTAAGTAGAAATATACCATTTGTGACTTCCTTATCTTCCCCTAATAATCATCATAAGGTAGAACATAAAAGTAAAGAGATAAGTAAAGTGCACAAGTTGTGGAACGCTAAGAAATACCAAACACATGATTTAGGGGGGTGTTTGGATGAACTTTTTTTGAGTGAATTAAAAGAAAAAAGCCAAAATTAGGAGCGACCTACTTTTAACTTTTGGCTCTTTTTTTTGTGTACATTTTAAGCATAAGGTAAAGTGCGTAAGCACTTTGTGTCTTTGCCAAACACCTCTAATAATAAAAAGTGTTTAAAAGTCAAAAATACCTAAAAATAAGTCAATCCAAACACCCTCTTAATGTTATAATAAAGTTGTTATTGATCGAAAGCCTCAAAATTGAGCCAAAAATTGTCCGCTTAAGGTTCGGGTTATTTTGCGCATCATCATTTTAAGCGTATGGTCTCCTTATTTGGATTGCTTTAACGCTTTAAGCAATGAAGCAATGACTTCTAATTACACCATGACCGGATTTTGGCATCATAACATGTGTGTAAGTCATTTCTCTTTACCTTGATTGACTTCTATATTCTTCAAAGTAGGTTCCTATAAAGTGAGCGTACTTTAAAGTTTAAACAACTGTGTTTTTGCAAGTAGTCTAAAACCCTTGTACCTAAGGTCATTCTAATTTCAACAAGTCATTACTAAAAGGCTATGTTGCTCAGACTCTTAAAAAATATCGACGTGTGCGTGTTGGATCCTCCAAAAGTAGTTTGTTCTTGGAGGATCCAACACGGATTCGAACATTTTTGAAGAGTTCGAGCAACATAGTGAGAGGGGCCTGACCTGGTACAAGAAGTGGCATAGGATGTTATAAACTAAACAGAAATATTCCATTTGTGGCTTCCTTTCACTTTCTCTAATAATCATCATACATAAAATAGAATATATAAGTAGATATACATAATGAAATAAAGCGCAAATTATGGAACACTAAAAAGACTAAACATATGATTTAATGCTATAATAAAGTTGGTATTACTCCAACTTCTCATACTTGAGCAAAAAATCGTCCGCTTAAGGTTAGGAGTATTTTGCATGTCATCATTTGAAGCTAAATTGCTCGGATTCTCCAAAAATGATGTCGCACCCGCATCGGATCATTCAAAAATACACTATTTGGAGGATCCGACACGCACCCGTCAACATTTTTGGAAGAGTCCTAGCAACATAGATTTTTAAGTGCATGATTTCGCTCATGAAACAATAACTCCTCCCTTGGATTGCTTTATCGCTTTAAGCACAAAGCAATGACTTTTAATAACACCATAATACTGGATTTTACGATCATAACATGTGCGAAGAGTCCTAGCAACATAGATTTTTAAGTGCATGATTTCGCTCATGAAGCAATAACTCCTCGCTTGGATTGCTTTATCGCTTTAAGCACGAAGCAATGACTTTTAATAACACCATAATACTGGGTTTTGCGATCATAACATGTGCGAAAGTCGTTTCTCTTTACCTTGATAGATTTCTATATTCTTCAAGTAGCTCCCTATAAAGAAAACATATTTTAAACTACTGTGTCTTTGCAAGTAGTCTAAAACCCTTCTACCTAAGGTCATTCCAGTTTCAACAAGTTATTACTAGAGTGGTCCGACTTGGTACAAGTAGTGTTATAGGACGTTATAAACTAAATAGAAATATACTATTTGTACTACCTTTCTCTTTCCCTAATAAGTGTCACAAGATAGAGTGTAAAAGTAAAGAGATATATATTAAAGTAGAAACCTTTTCTCATTTCTCAATTCCACTAGTCATAAATGCTTGACCAACAAAAGGTTCAAATCTCATTCTATTTTCTAATGAACGGGATGTTGTTGCACAAGGTTGTTTTAAGATTTGGTGTTAATAGCAAGTTTGGCTTTCCATAAGAGGCACATACAATGTTGCGGTTCCGGTTTCATTTGCACTCAGTACTTCCGACACAAAATATAAATTTATGCGTAAAAATCTAGTAAAATTGGAATGAATAGTATGTCTGAATCTGTAATTTAAAAAATAGAATGGGCTCGATACTACCAACCTTAAATAGTGAACCTGTAGAGTTTTTTTTTGAAACGGGTAATATTACTCTATATATCCACAGGTATAAGTGTAGTTCCCCTTTAAAAGTATTACAATCTATCAAAAGCTCAAGTCTATTTTTGTTGCCTATAAAAAATCTTGAACATCAAAGATGTCTTCAGTTTGAGCTAATAAACTATGTTTACACCAAAAGTAAAATAGAGCTAAACACTTCATTTTGACATGATGTAGACTGTTCTGCACATTTTCAAAGCTCCTATTGTTTCTCTCTTTCCAGATTGACCACCAAATGCATGCTGGGACAATCTTCCATCTCTCCTTTTTTGTAACATTTCCATCCCTTTCCAGCTACTAAGTACAACTCTAATGCATCCTGATTTCACCCATCTGATCCCCTTCACGCTAGTGAACATTCTCCATAGTTGTTCTGTCCATTTACAATGTAAGAAAAGATGGTTGACTGTCTCAGCTTTTTCCACACATATAACACCTAGAAGCCAACTGATGACCTCTCTTGTCAGGTTCTCATGTGTTAGGACAACTTCTTTTGCCAAAAGCCAAGTGAAACAATTCACTTTGTAAGGCACCTTAGGTTTTCATATCATCTTCCATGTCCACTCTTTCTCCTGTCCCCTTGTAAGACACCTATAGAGTTTAAATTTTGGATTTGCCAAGGCTTTGTCTTCATAGTTTCCTAATCATGCTTTCTTGATTATTTTTTTACTGAATCCTATAAGAAATAATATACATTTAAACATTAACATTAGTACTAGTTTGGAGTACAAGAAAAGAAAAATATTTAGATGACTTTAGTTGTGATTAGGTTTTGATAAGGACGGTAGTTATGAGTAGTGCGATTGAGACCACAATGGTAGAAATTTGGGAATACAAAGTGCTCTTACTAAGTGTGTCTATTGATACTTTATGACATCTAAAATAAATAAAGCTACTACTGCTTCTTAAGGGTAAAAGACATGAAGTTCTGAGTTACTAAATTATAATATTTGCAAGAAGAAATAATATTAATTAATAGTTGAGTTTAGATCTATAATATGAAAATCAAGCAATGATGTGCTTTCATAATTTCTACACCCTAGGGAGGGTCCAAAGGGCGGGTCACAAACGGATTTCTCGTTTATTAAAAAAAACAAACTAAAGCATTGGATTTAGCAAAGAAAAACGCCAAGAGAATGTAATTACAAATACAAACTATAAATCGGTGGACAAAAGAATGGAAAATTGTATAATTAAGCTATACATATGATGTTGTGCCCCTTTAAGGCAGAGCCTATTACTGAATGTTCACACACCTTAACACCTTGATGCCTACACTAAAGCACCAATTAAGCGAGGTGAAGCGCACAAGCTGGGCTTCGCTGAGAGTCATGGCTTAAGAGTGCTTTAAGTGAGCCTTTAACAACCCTATAGTTATTTGAAGTGTTATGTTGTAGTGTTTTCTGATAAGGTGGTTAGTCATTTCACTGTGATAAATGTGTAAATGTATGGTAAAAACGTATTCATTCACCAAAGACCTGCCTAGGTTGCTACTTGCATTTGTTAAACAGTCGTCAACATAGTTGGTAGAGACTCATAGAATCAACCCGAACTAGTTTGGGATTGATACTATTGGTTTTTCTATATCTACTTATGATTCTTTATGACAAAGAAATTCTGTAAAAAGAAAACTGATGCTGACATATCCTCTCTTTTGGAATTGGACTATCCTGTTCTTTGTTTAGTCTCTTTTTTTTTTCTCGCACCTGTATAATTACTTCGAACAAAGTATGGAATAGCAGTGCTGCAACTTATTCTTAAAATCTTCAGATTGGGAAAGATGCTGACTTGCAGAAAGCTACAATAGATGATACTGAAAAGAAAAAGAAAAGGAAAGCTACATATCTCAAAGAGATGATATCTAATAAGTGCAAGCAATTTGTATGGTGCTTTGAAGCATAGATGATATCTAATAAGGAGTATGCTTATTGAGGAATTAGAGCTTGTAGATCTGTTAGGCTCTCTGTAAGTAGTTTCTCCCTTTCTCTCTTTTTTTTGTTTGTTTTGTTCCCCTTTTGAAGGTCTCCAGCATATCCTTAATGCTGAGGAATACAACAGTACCAGTTTCAAAAAAAAAAAAAAGCATACTTCGTCACACTCGTAAAATTAGAATTTTATGCAAGTATAGTGTAGTACAATGTGATTATAGCCTTTTTGTATAGTCTCTCATAATTCAAGAGCTTTGTTACAGACTGTAAAAGAATTATGAAAAGTTAACAAAAAGGAGCTCATGTTCTATCTTTGTTAAAACCATTGACTAAGTATATCACATAGTGCTTTGTTAAGAAATAGATGCAGATAGTAAGTTTCTAAGTTCAAGTATGATACTCCATCATATATTTTGCTTAATATCACAATAGTTGATGCTTCAATTCTGATTCTTTTGCAGACGTCTCTTTGATTTCTAGGCTTCATTCTACTAGAAGCAAGATAATGTTTTCCACTTTTATCACAAGGAAAGTGTTGGTTGATATTGGGCATGTGTTGGCTGATGGCACTATGGCACTATGTGACTCAACTTATTCATGTCAAAGGGTTGTTGATTTGATGTCATTTCAGCCTCAGGTGTCATAAGTTGGCATTTCTCAAGAGCATTCTCGGCCAAAAAATTTGATTCAGGTTTCCCTTATATCACATGAACACTTGATCTAATAGGAAACTAAATAAACATGGTTTGATCATCTCCTGGCTTTGAAATAGATATTTTGTTGGATGTCAACTCCTATTGACATAAAGTCAAGACTAGAGGATGGCATCGAATGGAATATAGGACAAAAATTTGGCATCACAAGGAAGATTTTAATTAGATTCTGTAAAATTAGGCCAAATGATTGCATCATGTGATATTTGTTAATCTTGCAAAATTAACAGCAAAGGATTGCATTACAAAAGGGATATAAGGTACCACATTTTCCCTGGTTTGTGTAGCTTGCGAAATTAAAGAATCATTCTTTCAAATTACAATTTCCTTAGAAAAGTGATTTTAACTTGAAAAGTTTAGGTAACACCTCATCATAGGATTCTTGGGCATGCTCGGGTGGTTAACGATGAATATGTCACAAAATACATCCCATCGCTCCATTAGAAGTTTCTGTGGAGAATTGATATATATAAAGCATCTCCCAGAATGAACTTGAAATTCATGGGTCTGTTTGCAATTTGTTTCCTCTTATCAATTCTTCTAAGGGATTTCTAGCAGAATGGTGGAATATATTCATCTTTAATCACTCCAAGCATGCCAAGAGACCTATGATGTGTTACATAAACTTTTCTACGTCAAATTCATTTTTGAGGCAATTATAAATCTGATGCATGATTCATTATATTCTAAGGCTACACTAAAGTGAATGTGCTACCTTATATCCTTTTTGTACTAACAAACTTTACTCCCAACTCTGCAACAACTCTGCAAGAACAAATATGTTTGGTCCTAATTTTATAGAACCAATCTTTTTTGTGATTACCTAATATATCTCCTATGATGCCTTACTTTAGATCTAACTCTATGCCAATTAGGGGTAAACATCCTGAAAAGTATCTATTTACCCATGCTAAAGCTATGAGATATTCAACTGACGTTTACTCAGTTTTCTATTGGATCTGATGTTCAAATGATGCAAGGGCAGACTGAATCATATTGTAAGGCTACCTTATGATACTTGCTGATGAAGTGGCATCCAATTTACTATTTGTAGAGATGGATAAGACGAGTCACATGAGCATCCACAACATGATGTAGATAACATGTGTCAAGAACTTACCTTTTTGGAAAAATTGCGGAATCTACATGAGTAGGATCAAACCTTATGCCTTTTATTTATATGAGGTACCCCTTTAAAGAACTCCCCAAGAGGGCTTAAGGTCGTTGGATTTGAAGCAGCAGACCTGCAACACTTGGTCCTTCCTTCTTTTTAGTTCAAAGAATGGAGAAGCAAATTGGAATTTTGATAATTTTATTGACAGAGTGGTAAGAAGCCAATTGTATAGGGTTCCAAACCTATTGACTAATAAGAGGAAAGGGGCAAGCCAATATTGACTCCTAGAAAAGTATAAATCATTGGACAACAAGGAGCCATCATATATTGACGCTGCACATCACACAATCAACTCAACTCAACTCTTACGCTAATAGAAGTTTCTTACTTTCCTATTAGCGAAAGAAAATAACTGGAAAATAAGTAAGTTTGTTGATTTGTATTGGAAATCCTTCATAAAAGACTTATACATTGAAGAGAAATATCTCAGGATCTCTTCTGTTTTTCTCTTCCTAGATGATTGAGCGTCAACTTAGTGATACTTGCAACAAAATTCAAGAGGAACAAATGGTGAAGCAGTTTGAAAAGAGAAATCTGCAAAAAATCAGACCCCTGTGTTGGAAGCTCGGAGCAGCTGAAGCATCTGTCTTAAAATAAGGTAAGTCCAAGTTCAGACAAGCTATAGCGAGTAAATTATTCTAATTGAACATTTTTAGTTTGATTTTCTTTCATGCACTATAAAGATTGAAAGTCAATGAACTTTTTCTCAATTTCTTTGGCTACCATTTTCCTGATGCATGTCGTTCGTATAAGAGTGACACAAATAGAGACTTCATTAGGTTCTCTTGTAACTGTGCTGTCTGGGAGCTCTTCTGCTTTCTTGAAGTTGTTTTTTGTATAGGTAATATCAACCAGTTACGATTAAGGATTAGTTTTTTTTGTTACACTTACATTGGTTTGGTGTTTGTCAATATTTTTGTAAGTTTGATAAAATGGATATTCCAGTTGTTCTTTGTATGGATTTGGTAAACAATGCTATATAATTTTCTTAAAGATCACAATATAACTTGAAGCTCAAAGTTCATCCTTTTCTTATCCACCAAAGGACTCCATTAATTACTTGCATAATAAGTATCATTTTGTTTTTGATACCCGTGGTGCCTCAGCCAGCTTGCGCACACCTCAATTAATTTCACGGGATACCTGCCACCTCCCACCAGCATATATACCAAGTAATTATGTCCACCAAAGTATCATTCTCATATTATTTCATCTAAGGGATATACACCTATGTTTGGCTCGGATTACACAAGTGCTGATTCCAGTAACAAGAGTTAATGAGTCTAATATTTGATTTTCTGTTGTTTGCCTCATCCCATTCCAATATTAGCTGGTGTTAGAATAGGCATAGAAATAATAATATACAATCTTACTTAGAATAGGAATAAGAATATAAATAGTATATAGAATCACTTAGAAAAGGATTGTATTGTAGTGTCCAAGTTGGAAAAAGAGTCTTATGTAGAGTAATAATGTAATATTGTAGATACATAGTTCAATAATATTCTTCTCTGATATTTCTCACATTATGTCTGAGCTTCTATGTTCTTGGTAGAGAACCAAAGAGCTTCCGTTGTTGGCGGTCGGCTATTATCCATATATGTCGCTCGTCTATCCAACAATTGTGTTAGAAAAAGTTGGATCACTGTGTATCTTTAATTGTGACTACTTTCTCATATTTCATTTGCGTACCGTACATTTTTTTCAGACTACTTTCTCATATTTGATTTGTGTAGCATCATGCATCATTCCAATGACTAACTTCTCATATCTTATTTGTTGTAGCACCGTGCCCTCTTTTTGGTGACTACTTTCTCATATTTGTTGGTTGAATTTTTTTTGGGCGTCCATGACGACCTTATTAGTGAAGCATGTTGGTCAGAAGGGGAAAAAGTAGGCATTTTCAAGTTCAAACGAGGCTCCAAACAGGAAATACCAATTTTTCCATTTTTCGTGTGTTGTAGTTCATATATTTTGGGTGCTATTTGATCTCGACGAGCTTTTGGCCAATTTTCTTTGCAAGTGTTCGTGATGACCTTTTTAATGACGTGTGTTGGTCCAAAACGTAGGCATTCTCAATTTCAAATGAGGCTCAGAACAAGAAATATCAATTTTTTTCATTTTTCGTGTGTTATTGTTCATGCATTTTGGGTGATATTTTATCCTAATGGAGTTTTGGCAGAAACATTTAATGGGTGTTCATGATGAGCTTATTAATGACGCGCGTATGCCCAAATGTAGACATTTTCAAATTTAAACTAGGTTCGGAACAAGAAATACCAATTTTTTCATTTTTCGTGTACTATAGTCCATGTATTTTGGGTGATATTTGATTCCGACGAGTTTTTGGCCAAAATTTTTTGTGAGCATCGCTAACAACCTTATAAATGATGTGCATTGTCCAGAGGGGCAAACATATGCATTTTCAAGTTCAAACGAGGCCCGAAATAGGAAATACCATTTTTTTCATTTTTCGTGTGTTATATTTCATGAATTTTGGGTGATACTTGATCCTGACAGGTTTTTGGCTGAAAGTTTTAGTGGGCGTCCATGATGAACTTATTTATGAAGCGCGTTGGTCTGGTGGGGGCAAATGTAGGCATTTTCAAGTTCCAACGAGGCCTGGAATAGGAAACATTGTTTTTTCTAGCTTTGTGTGATAGTCCATGAATTTTGAGTATTATTTGATTCCGATAGGTTTTTGGCTGAAGTTTTTTGTGGGCGTACGTAACGACCTTAATAATGACGCGCGTTGGTTTGGAGGGGCAAACGTAGGAATTTTCAAGTTCAAATGACACCCGAAATACGAAATACTGATTTTTCTATTTTTCGTATGCTATAGTTCATGAATTTTGGGTCATATTTGATCCCAATGGGTTTTTGGCCGAAATTTTTTGTGGGCATCTCTGACGACATTATTAATGATGTGAATTGGTTCGAAGGGGCAAACTTAGACATTTTCAAGTCCAAATGAGGCCCGTAATAGGATGTACTGATTTTTTCATTTTTGTGTGCTATATATTATCTTGACGGGTTTATCGCTAAGATAGCTATTTGTTTCATTTGTCGTGGTTTATAGTCATGGATTTTGGCTGATATTTGTCCCGATGGGTTTTTGGCTGAAACTTTTTATAAGCGTCTGTGACAACCTTATTAATGACGCGCGTTGGTTTGGAGTGGAAAATGTAGGCATTTTGAAGTTCAAACGAGGCTCATAACAGTAAATATCAATTTTTCAAATTTTTTTGTGCTGTAGTCCATGAATTTTGAGTGATATTTGATCCTGACGGGTTTTCGACTGAAGTTTTTTCTGTGCATCCATACTAACCTTATTAATGATGCGCGTTGGTCTGGAGGGGAAAACATAGGCATTTTCAAGTTTAAACAAGGCGTGGCACATGAAATACCGATTATTTCATTTTTCGTGTGTTATTGTCTATGAATTTTGGGTGATATTTTATCCCGATGGGTTTTTGGCCGAATTTTTTTATGTACGTCCGTACAGACCTTATTATGACGCACGTTGGTTTGTAGGGGCAAACGTAAACATTTTCAAGTTCAAACAAGGTTCGAAACAGTAAATATTGATTTTTCATTTTTTGTGTGCTATAGTCCATGGATTTTGGATGATATTTAATCTTGGTGGGTTGTTTGCTCAAATTTTTTGTGGGCGTCTGTGATGATCTTATTAATGACGTGCATCGGTCCAGAGGAGCAAATGTAGAAATTTTCAAGTTTAAACGAGGCTCGAAACGGAAAATAATGATTTTTCCATTTTTATGCGCTATAGTGCATGAATTTTGGGTGTTATTTGATCTCGACGGATTTTTGGTCTAAATAGTCTGAGACGACCTTATTAATGATGCGTGTTGGTCCGTATTGGCAAACATAGACATTTTAATGTTCAAAAGAATCTCGAAATAGGAAATACAGATTTTCCATTGTTCGTGTGCTATAGTCCATAGATTTTGGGTGATATTTGATCCTGATGGGTTTTTAGCCAAAACATTTTATAAGCATCCGTGACGACCTTATTAATGACGTGCGTGGTTTGGAGTGTAAAACGTAGGCATTTTCAAGTTTAAACAAGACCCAGAATAATAAATATAATTTTTTTCATTTTTCGTGTGCTACAATCCACGAATTTTGGGTGATATCTGATCCTAACGGGTTTTCGGTTGATATTTTTCTATGTATCCATACCAACCTTATTAATGATGCACGTTGGTCTGGAGAGGCAAACATAGGCATTGCAAGGTCAAAGAAAGCGCGGATAGTGATTTTTTTTCATTTTTCATGTGCGATTGGGTGATATTTGATCCCGATAGGTTTTTGACTGAAATTTTTTTAGGCATCCATGACTACTTTATTAAGAAAACGTAGGAATTTTAAAGTTAAGAGGAGGTCTGGAAGAGTAAATACCGATTTTCCATTTTTTGTGTGCTATAATAGTCCATGAATTTTGGGTGATGTTTAATTCCAGCGGGTTTTTTGCCGAAATTTTTTTTGGGCGTCCGTGACGACCTTGTTAGTGATGTGTGTTGGTCTAGAGGGGCAAACATAGGAATTTTCAAGTTCAAACGAGGACCGGAACAGGAAATACCAATTTTCCATTTTTTGTGTGTCATAGTCCATGAATTTGGGTGTTATTTGATCCCGATGGGTTTTTAGCTGAATTTCTTTGTGGACGTCTGTGACAACCTTAATAATGATATGTGTTGGTCCTTAGGGGCAAATCATAGTCATTTTCATGTTCAAAAGAGGTCCGGAATAGGAAATACCGATTTTTCCATTTTTCGTGTGCTATAATCCATGGGTTTTGGGTGATATTTAATCCCAACGGGTTTTTTGTTGAATTTTTTGTGGGCGTCTGTGACGACCTAATTAATGACGCGCGTTGGTCAGGAGGGGCAAACTTAGGCCTTTTTAAGTTCAAACAAGGCCCGTTATAGGAAATACTGATTTTTTCATTTTTCATGTGCTATAGTCCATGAATTTTGGGTGATATTTGATCCGGACGAGTTTTGAGACGATATTGTTTGTGGGAATCCGTGATGACCTTATGAATTACACACATTGGTTGACATTTTCAAGTTCAAACGAGGCCCGAAACAGGATATATCGGTTTTTCTTGTGCTATAGTCGATGGATATAATTAGGTGATATTTGATCATGAAGGGTTTTTGGATGAAACTTTTTGTGGGTGTCCGTGACGACCTTATTAATGACACACTTTGGTTCGGAAGGGCAAACGTATGTATTTTTAAGTTCATACTAGGCATAGAACAGGAAATATCAATTTCTCTATTTTTCGTGTGTTTCATGAATTTTGGGTGATATTTGAATTTTTGGCTAAATTTTTTTTATGTGCGTCCGTGACAACCTTAATAATGACCTACGTTGGTCTGGAGGAACAAACGTTGTCCATCAATTGTTTTGCTTAACCGTCCAATATTTTTGCACATACTAGCTCAATACATGTTGCACGAAACTTTTTAAATTTTTTTAAAAAAAGAGGAAAATTATGTATATAAGCAAACATATAATAGTTAATTACTTAACTTAGCTATAGTTTGCCTTAATTACAGTTCGTGGCCTACTTTTAGTCATAATTACGCAGCTCAGCTTTTTAGTTTTGTATAATTTGCACGTTTGTATAATATAATTTGTATAAATTTTGTATAATTCATAATTTGTATAATATATTTTGTATAACTGTTTACACTTCTGATATTTGTAATTGTGTAAATGTGTAAATTCGTTATTTCGAGTTTATACAAAAATAACTGAATTATACAAATGTACCCGCGAATTATACAAACGAGATAGCTTAAATT